TATATTAAAAAAGTAAGATATTTTATATAGTAAGTATTTTATTGTCTTATTTATTCTTTTATTTATCTTTAAACAGGCTGCAATTTTATTTGCTAATAGCTATCATGGCACTGGTCAAATTGTGCCAGTTTAAGCCATGTGAGGATCTGGCTGGCCATTCACTTGCGCAGTATTTCTGTGACCTGTTTATTGACTTTATACAAAACTGTAGAATCCAAATATTGAAGGGCAATATTAACAAGGATGCAACTTCACTGATTCCAGTAGATTTACATCAATGTAATCCAGAAGAAAATTTGGCACTATTTCTTGAAACTATTCTGTGACAAGGGAGAAAATGTCAAGGTCTTCAGAAGAGCAAGAATAAACCAGATTCTACTTTTAATTTGAAATACGAATGACTGTAAATAAAACCAAGATTAGATCAAAGAGTAAACTTCTCAGGCAAAACAGGTTGCAGCCATTGGGTTGAAGCTGGTCAGACCAGTTTTGCACTTAGCAATAACACATTGGCACGGACATTTACTTTGTCAGGGATTTCTTTCCCTGGCAGCAGGAGCATTTAAAAGTGTAGGAAAATTGGAGTCAGTGAAAAATTGGTAACAAACAAGTGCCTAAGAAGCCGTGTGCCTTGAGTGATGGGCAGACTAGTTTTAAATTCTGGGTCACAATTATTGCAACCCTCTGGTTTCAATCAGTTTAGCTAATACTATAAAGCAGCATGCCCACTATATAGAGAGCAGGCCCTGGCAGCAGGAGCATTTAAAAGTGTAGGAAAATTGGAGTCAGTGAAAAATTGGTAACAAACAAGTGCCTAAGAAGCCGTGTGCCTTGAGTGATGGGCAGACTAGTTTTAAATTCTGGGTCACAATTATTGCAACCCTCTGGTTTCAATCAGTTTAGCTAATACTATAAAGCAGCATGCCCACTATATAGAGAGCAGGGATCCATCTTCATCCTAGAAATCATGCAACAGGTACTACAGGGATGCATCCTGCATTTACCTTCTAAGCCCTGAGCTTGAGGAGAGACTGCTGCTGTTTGGGGTTTGCAAGAACTACCTTTTTGCAGCCCTGTTTTACAGGAACACAAGTGCCTCAGTTTTTGGATTAAATGATTTCCAAACTCAAAATGTGGCTGAAAATGATATGCCTGAATTAAAACCATGTCAATTGCCAACCCTGCTGAAGGGATCTAATTCTTACTAAAATAAAGATTACTAAAATTAGTAGAGTCTTGATTCATTCCTAGGTGTATTTCTGGAGCATAGTTTCTGTTGACATTGTAGTCAGCATAAGGAAACAAAACTAAACTCACTTACTGTACAGTTCTTAGAGAGGTGCTATTATTACAAGAATTTATTTTTTAGTTACTTCACAGCTTGCATTTCTGAAGTGAAAATTGCATCCAGCCAAACACTTCTTTCATTCCACTGGTAGATATATAGGGCAGGGACAAGTCAATAATGGTGAATAAAATGGTTATTTGGTTATGAATTCTGTCACTGGAACTATTGTCTCATTAACAATCAATAAACTTATTCTTTCAGCTGATTAATGGATGCAGATTCCAAGCATCAAAATCACAGGTCACTATATGTGACAGTTGTCAGTTATCTTACTACTTTTGGTTACAGTCATCTTACTTTTTCTGTTTAATGGTAGGAATCCTGATTGGCTTTGGTTTCAAATTCTGTGGTGTAGTCTTGGGATTCATGTCTTCTCAAGACTGTACCAACCATATGTAGGTTTGTATCTGTTAACCTTTTCTTCCCTAGATGCTTTTAGTAAAGATATAGAGTCTGATTCTGATCTTAAGTGGATACTCGTTGGCAGTAACTGCTTTTTATACAATAAAGTGGGGAAAAAACAATCTGTGCATCTGAATCAAGTTCAGGGCTCCTCTGTAGGCAGAAGAGCAAGAGGCAAGGCAGTTAATTTCATTTAAAATGAAGATTTTAGTGTCTTTCAGGATTTGCATAGGTTATAACTGTTGGTTACAAGAAGAGAATTAAGTCCTGAGCTATGACTAGCACTTTTCAAGCAAAAGACATGTATAGAAATAAGCAAAGTCATCCTTGTAACGAACTGTACTGGGCTATGTAACTAGTTGGCCCTAAATATTTGGAACTCTAAATAGGATCTCTGTATGTGAAGCGATTACAGAAATTGAGCCCTCAAAAGGTTTTGTTTGTTTCTTTGCTTTGGGCACATGCTTCTTAACTTGTCCAGAACTTTGTCTCTTGTTCCTTGGCAAGGGTTGGAGGATGGAATAACTTCCCTTATTTCAAGCAAAATATAATGTTTGATGAATTTTTGCTAGAGGTCAGCATTGTTCTTCAAAATTACTCTCTCTCAAAAAAGGTTTTCAAATTTGCAAATGTGGATCTGTAGATTGTAGTGCAAAGGTAGAGATTAAGAGGTGAGAAAGATTTATAGTAATCTGGCCTATTTCCCCCCCTCAAAAAAATTAACAGCTGAAAAACCTGTCTTGCAGATTAAAAAAAGTCTCATTTAATTTAAGGTCAAGAGATTTGTGAGATGATTTGACCATAAGTCTACAAGCGTCTACACAGGAAATGACTTCTTCCCATGCGGAATTTCTTTATGTGACAAGAGCTTGCTAAGACCTGATGAGTGGAATGTCAAACCTGCCAAATTCAGACTAGAAATGAATTTATTTTTTTAACAGTGGTAATAAGTACCTTGTGGAACAAATTGCAAAGGGAAATGGTGAATTCTCTAATACCTGAAAACATTATATTAAGATTGAGTTTCTTTTCTAGCAGATGTGGAGTAAAAAAGAACCTGGATGTAATTCTGTGACATGCAAAAAGTTCATTGTAAATATGTCAGAATGGTCCTGTCTCATCTTAAATGAACCCATAAAACTTGAAAATGTCCAAAAGGTCAAAATGTACATCCTCAATGACAATCCTGATGAATCCCCTGTTTTCTTTTTGGTTTTGTGGGTTTGTTTGTTTGTTTGTTTGTTTTCTTTTTTTTCCCTGTAGTTCCACTACTTTGTCTATGCAGTGCAAATTTCATGGAGGATTGTCTTATCGTGGCTTCTGGTATAAAAAGTTTTCAAGTAGTTTTCATATCTTTTTTTAATCAGGAAATGCTGAAGTGCAGCAAGAATTCAGAGGGTACTGCTGAATTGGAAGAAGCCCTGGCCACAATGCTTGATATCATCAAATCAGTAAATGACTCCATGCACCAGATAGCAATCACAGGATATGAGGTATTATTTGCTGCTGTTACTCTTACTCTTACTCTTACTTTTGACCCATCCAGTGTTTCTCTCATCGTTGATCATGCTGTGCCCATGGCTGGTACACTTTGCAGGAGCCTGTGCCACATTCTTGAAGGATGCCACTCAGTGGCATGTTGTGGTGACCAAAAATACATGTCAACATACCTGTCACATGGAGGTGGGGGTGTGAATGTAGGAAGGAAGTGGGACAAATGCAGTCCTTCTGAGTAATCACACCCAAAACTCATTTGTAGGTGAGAGGTAGCAAGTGTGACAGACATAACGTAAGAAATTTGCTGAAACTTTGTGACCGCTATGCAACTCAAGTGTTTCCAAATCTTTTGCACTTAGGGAGGAAAATTTGGCTTCCATTTAAAGTGGGTGATAGAATCCATTCCAGTGACTGGCAAACTCATTATCTGAAACGTGAAATAACAACCACAGTACAAATCAAAGGCCACAAATGTATGTATCTCTCTGCTGAAGCTCCATTGAAGTCATATGGCTTTCAAGAACTAGTGTTGCCTACGTAAAATGAGCTCTTAAGTGAGAAGTGGAAGTGATTGACACATAAAAGAGAAACACATCCGGCAAAATGAGCCTGAGGGTGATGTGGTTGCCCATTTTGAAATAGTTGCAGGGTGAAAATGTCGAGAGAAAAAAAATGTACTGAGAATCTGGGTTCACTAGAGTAGAGTAACAGTGTTTAGTCTGGACACTGGAAAAGCAGTATTTTGTGCAGAATGTGACTTCTCGAGAAAGCGCTAGGGTCTATACTGACTGTGTGGGTGGGTGTCACGGCCTTAGTTTTAAGGCCGCTTTAAAGATCACTGACAAAGATATTGGCAAAAGGTGATTTTAATAGAATTTTATAGAAACATGACAACAGAATTCCATGGCAAGGTTCACTCTATTACTCATTACATGGATTAAGTATATACAGAGAAAATCGTGTCAGAGTTGTGTTGGAATGATTTGTACAGAGATTGAGGATAAAAGGGTGAAGGAGACCCTCCCATTGAGACACAAGGTTTGGAGAAGACCTGGCTGGATCCAATCTTAGTCTCAGACAAGACAATGGTTTGTGTCTAATATCAAAGGGATAAGGAGGCCTTCCCGTTGGGTCACAAGGTTCAGAGTAGACCCCCCTTGCTCTCTGAACTCCTTCTCAGAGAGGTGTCTAGGTGCGGCTGGATCTACCCTTAGTCTCACACCTGGGCAATGGTTTATAACTAAAGGGTTAAGGGTGTTTAGCAGCAACTGAGAGTCCGACAATACTTCAGCATTAATCAATTTGGGAGCTACAAAAAGGAGTTAGTCAAGTTTTTCTACAAATACTAAAACAATTGAGCTACAAATGATACTTGTTAGTGGTTACACACATAAATGTGCAAAATTGATCTAGATCAATCAATATATGTATATAAAAATATGAATATGGTAACAAAGCTAGATAAGTTTATGAAGGCCTAAAGCTAGATATATTTATCTAGAGTTAGCTAATTTATAAAGGTATACCTGTTAAAAATTCCCCTCTAGTCCCGTGAAATACTCACACTAAATGCCTTGGCATTTCCCGACGGGCGAAGAGTTGAGCCGCGAGGAGTGTTTCAGCCCAAGTCTCGGTGATCCTCCAGGTCTCACAAACTCGAGAGTTTGCGAACTGTGAAAAGCGTCCCACTCAGAGGGAGATTCTGGGCACAGCCCGCTGCGATCCGGGAGAGCTCAAAGGGTCTCACTGAGGACCACTGTTTAAAGGTTCGTTAGATGATTGGCTGTAGTCATCCGTGACAATTTGGAAGACCTCATTAACAATAGTGCCATTCTACTTGAGATACAACTCTGATAAGGGTGTCAGGGAAATGACGGATTATTCCCAACCTCGGACCCCACCTGGGTTGAGTAGCGAAAGTCCTGGTACGGCCAGTGCGGTTCTTAATTTTGGCCATGTAGGAGTTCTGGGAGCAGTCAAGGGACGCTTCACTGCCCGACTCATTACAGGAGGGCCAAAGTATATCAGGAATTTCTGAGGTCTTAGAGTGACCCTGGAAAAAGGGAAAGGGGGGAAGGAATGCACCACCACAGTGGGAAGAGTTACTCTGTGTTCCACTGTTTCGGTTTCATCCCCAAAGAGAAAGGTAGCTTTCCTCCTGTGTTTCCCTGTTTAAATATATGTAGTTACAGCAATTTCACAAAAATCTGTTTTTAAGCAGTTCTGTAAGGGAGGGGCAGAAGAGCTTCTCCAAGAAAGGTAACATACTATTCTGAGCAGAGGGGATCTATCCAGATTCCTATCCATATAAATGTTGAGGTCATCCTTTTGCCTATTCCTTACTTTCAAATCTCAGAGTAGTTTTGTACTCAGGAATTCAACAGAGCTTTTCAGCTTCTACTTTTGAATTTGCCAGCCTTCCATGTAGTGCCAGATATAGCTCCAAGGACTAGATTTTTGCCTCTGCTTTGTTAGCTGAACTGAAAGACATGACAAAGTGGAACATGGCTGCTGTGTAGCCCAATGCTGACAGCATTCCTGAGATGATTTGTTACATGATTATTAAATGGGGTGAAAGAGGATGAACTCAATAATTTCTTTTCCCCGTTCCACCTGTCCCAGGTGCTCAGCTGTGATGCCAAATAAACACCTCCCATAGCTCATGAAACTGCACCCCATCTTGTGGAGTCTTTCCCACACAGGCATGGTAGAAATACTTGCCTAGAACACCTTTCAGAGAAGGATGTTATGCCAGCAGAAAAGCAGGTTTTGTGGCAGCTCATGAATGCTCCTAATTGCATAGGATATTCTGCTTCTTGGACGTGTGCACATGCAGACTTGAGGAGCTGAACCCTTGTGTAAGAAATTGCTAACATGTAAGTTTGGAGTTGGTTTTGGTTTTTTTTTATTTTTAGGCAAAGCCACAAAAAAAGTAGAGTAAAGCTTGGAGAGCAGAAGTTTTAGAGAGGTTTCCTACGATCATCCTAACATTTGTATACAATCTGGCCTGGGTAGTTTGTCCATGAGTTATGCAGCAATGAAGCCATTCATAGGTATCTCTCATCTTCCATAAACATGAGAGACGGTGTATTGTTCTAAGAGGGAATAATTATATTTGAGATAGCAATCAAATCCTCCATTTTAAATAAACTTCCTTTAGGAAAAAATATTGCTGTCCCTAGCACAAGTTACGAGAAACAGTGTTCTCCTCTCTATTTGCTGCCCACACTGAAGAGAGTGTCCAGGGCTTGTGGGCTAATATTCAAAGTCTTTTGTGGGATTGCTGCAGACTGCCACCCCTGTCCATCCTCTTTCTCTCCGCACTGGTAGCGTCCCACTTCACTTGCTATAATCCCAATCCGAGATCCAAGATTGAAAGGACGGACCTATCACAAGAGTTAAACTGAGCTTCTGGATCTCAGTGTCACATTGAACAGTGCCTGGAGTGGCAGAATCCTCTCACCATTGTCAGAACTATGTAAAAAATATGTTTGTTTGGGTTTTTTTATTTAGCTTTACATCTCATCAATATGCTTTTCACAGGCTTGCAGTTTACACCCACATGCACATATAAACAGAAACACACACAGTCCTGTATGCACAAATAAAAAAATCCAACTCTATATATTAGAGATGAAAGACTTATAGAAATTACTGAGGTTTTTTGAATGCTTTGGAGAATCTAATAATACCCTAATATGGAGTGGAAAAGTACCTAATCAAACCTTGGTTTTGCAGTTGGATCTAGGGTAGAGGATGGGAAGTGAGAGGGAGAACAGGTTGCAATCTGTAGTTTAAGAAATCAGACATTCCCACTTGGAGCCAACATCTTCACCTTATAATCAACAGAACATACAAATATTGAAAATAAGTACTTTAATAATGCACTGAGCTTATTCCCTCAACTTATTATACAAAGCACTCCTAGAAAAACTTGCTGCTAGGATAATTATGTTAATCATTATTTGTTGAGGCCCATTACCATATAGATGTTGCCATGTCTTCTATCCACACATTGCTACAATCTTTAGTACTGAACTGTGGTATAAATGTTTGTGCTGGTGGCATCTGAGCCAAATATTTGTATCAGCTGAAGTATTTACCCATCAGTGGTCCTCAGAGAAGGGCTTTAACTTAGAAAGGTCGGTTCCTGCGTAGTTTCCTTCTCCCTCAGGTACTTTTATGGCTCCTTGATGCATTTACTCCCTCTTTGCCCAAGGCTGTGCAGCATTGCGTAGTTTGCGGATGGTAAGCCAAGAAACTATTGACAAAGCTTTTAAAGACTATTTTACAATAGGAGGGAATTACACACCTACATACCTCTAGGCACCAATCTGTTGTCTTCAGACATCTAAGCATCTTTCAAGGTTTTGCCCAGGGATAGAAGCAGCTCGTAGCAGAGCAGAAACCGAACCTAGATCTTTCAGAGCCAAGGCCTTTGCTTGGATATCTGGACAGCAGTGGGCCTTCATACTGCCTTGGAGTCAGGAGTCTTGAAACCCAGTTCTTGTCAGAAAATGCTTCCTCTGAGGTTATCAGAGGGGACAGCCTGTGTGTCAGATCCAAAATGGTCCTGAGACAGACCTTAGACACTAACTATGAATGAGGAGACAAGCTGAGAATTATGGACATGAAAAACAATAGGTTAATAGTTATATGAAGAAACCATACAGGTTTAGCAAGGAGACATGTGCAGATGGGATTCCAGCTGTAACATGTCCACTCTCCAACACAAGGGATGCCTGGACACATGCCTCAGCCTGGAATTTTAAACACCACTAGAGGAAAGAACTGTGCCTGGGATTACCCTAGTTTGAACGTGATGTACACTCTCTCATTTCCTTGCTTGCTAGGGGGATGTCAGTGAGCTTGGCAAGCTGTTGATGCAAGGTTCCTTCAATGTGTGGACTGACCACAAGAAGGGGCACAACAAGGTGAAGGACTTGGCTAGATTCAAACCGATGCAGAGACACCTCTTCCTCTATACAAAGATGCTACTTTTTTGCAAGAAACGGGAGGAGAACACAGATGGCCATGAAAAGACGGCTTCATACAGCTTTAAAAATTCGTTAAAGGTAATAAATGTAGTAATGGTGGGAAAGAGGAATAAATCTGGCGTTCTCACAACATGGGAATGTTTCCATGTGGAGACTTGAAGAAGGTACACATACCTGGAGCTATCTTGCAACCCTGAGTAAATGAAAGCTCCCATTTAGTTTTGATCTGGAGACAGACCTAGCCGTATGTCCTGCAACTCCAGACATGAACCTTGGTTTTGCAACTTGATACAAACGGGCACCTTGTGTGTTCTTGCTCAGCGTCCTATAAAGAGGAGCAAGACTTGAATGGACCTGCATTTTTCATTGTTCTGCCTATAAGCATTCTCCAAGTTCAGTTCTGTTGTGAGTTTTACTATTGACATCAGTTGAGCAGATATATTCGGTGACAATAATAGCTACAGATGAATCACAGTGCAGTAGAAGTGCCCTTTTATTTGCAAGAGTGACATTTCCAGATATGAGTCAGGATATTTTCTGTTAAGATGAGATTCACAAGTAGGCCAAATTTTCCCTTTAAGCACATTGGTGTGACACTTGTGAGTTCAGAGAACTAACATGGGTCATCAAGTGTAATGCTGCAAACTTATTACAGGGTAACCAGACAGGAATTGTAACAGAACCTGGTTCAAGGAGTGAACCAATTTGTATAAACGTTTGAAGTTTCTTTGAATGATGACATAACAAAAGCTGTTTAAATCTTCAAATCTAATGCTGAGGCAAATCAGAACAAGGGGGATGAACAAATACAGGAAGAAGATGGGAAGCTGGTAAGTATAGTATCAGCTGGACTTCAAAATTGTGGTTAAGAATCTATCATTTAAAAAATCTAGAATTATTTTCTTCAGTTCCTTGTTTGTCTTGCCTAGTTAGGCACTTAGCTCCTTGTTCACCTCTTTTTTTAATTTTCCTGAAACTATACCAAATTTTTTGCGTTGCCTGGATTTGCAGATGAGTCATTAAAACTCACAAAGCCATCCCTCTTCTTCTCCCATCTCAACCGGTCAGTGATGGCAAGTTGAAAATACCATCTTCCTCAAACTGAAAATTTGTATAGGTGGACAAGAGCCAGGATAGGATTGAAAACTGACCCACAGTTCAAGCAAAAAAAGCAAAGAGGATAAACTCATTATCAGACATTAGCTTGTGTTACTTTTGAGCATTTTTTTTTTATTTTTCCTATAACAGTCAAAAAGATGAATGACAAATTAGATGTTGAGAAACAACATGTTCTGAATTTACTTTTAATGCCTCCCTAAGGTGCAGAAGTGAATGCAGCCTTTTAAAAATGCTTCTCAGAGGATAAAGATTTTAAAGACTATTGACATTTTCCAGATTTCAGCTGCTTCTTTTCTATTTTGAAACAGATGAGCACTGTGGGCATTACAGAAAATGTAAAAGGGGACAACAAGAAGTTTGAGATCTGGTATAATGGCAGAGAAGAGGTCTATATCATTCAGGTAACAACAATCCTTTTTTTCCAAGGACTATACTTCCTTTCAATTGAATTGTTTTTAAGAAATTTTTCAGTATCATGACTTTCACTGTCCTGTACACTCAAGAAACAACAGCCATTGGAAGCTTCATTGTTGTGTTGCCACTGAAATTATCAATTTATCATTGTGAAAATGGTCACAATTTTGGGTAAAAGAGGAAAAAAAGTAGTGGAAAATTACTTGGAACACTGGACAGAAAAGCAAGGACAGGACCTTAGATTCATGGTAGCTTTTGCATCTTGAAGAGCATCCTCTGCTTTGCTCAAAGCTGGCCACAGTGTTCCTTGGGAAAATCGAGAGCAAATGTAGGTCAGGGGAGCCAAGTGATTGGCAGCATGCTTTAACTAGATCTAGTTTGCCTTTTCCTCTTGTGTTCTCAGGCATCTTCTGTTGAGCTGAAAAACACCTGGATTTCAGAGATTCGCAAAGTCCTGACAGGACAACTGGAAGCATGTAGAGGTAGGACACACAGAGCGAGATCTGGTAATGTTGCCTTTCTTCTGTAGCTGTGTGTGACAATATGGAGCTGGGATGAGTTACAGTGCCGTCCAGTACCACCAGTGAAATCGGCAAGAGCAGATCTTCTATGTGAGGATCAGTTGGGTGGTTGCAGCATTGCTGGGATTTAAACCCTTGTCCTGATCAAAGAAAACTTCTTAGAACTTTAGAAATGGAATAATTATTCTGTTCACAGTTAGTCCGAGGAACATGATTTTCATCTGTTCTCCGACTCAAGCTGCAACCCTAGAAACATCAGCATGTAAGGAGATGGGGTCCTAGTCTTCACTTTGTGCCTTCTCACAGACCTGACACAAAAGATCTCCTTCCGTATACGTGACCAGACACCGCAACTGTTCCTTCCTGTCCTATTGTTTGTTTTGCTTTGTGTGGTTTTTTGTGGGTTTTTATTTTAAATCTAGTCACCTGCCTTGTGTTTTAAATGTCAGTCAGTTATCCCATCTTTTTATCTTAGTGACCTCCCTGTAAACCCTCTCACAGAGATGTCACTATGAAGGTGATATGTGACATGCTCAACATGTGAATGATTGAAGCCTCATAAGCGCCTAAAATAATTACACCCTTTTTTATGTAAGATATTGAACCCAAGACAGACAAAATTCAGTTAGGTTATTCCAGATGGTAAGAAAACATAGTGATGAAAGCTATCTAAGACACTATTCTATTTTTGAACAACAATGTACAGAGTCTTAAAAGCCATTTTTTCAGGTTCTCTTAGGACAAAAAAACATAGCTGTGTCCAATACAGACTTTTCCAGGGCCCTGGCATTGCTTCTTACCTTGACCTGTCACTTGCTGCTTCTCTCATACACACACCTCTTTTTAAAGCAATGCAAGCAAAGCCTCTCCACCCATATCCTTCAGATTCCTAAGCAGACTTTGTCGTAGGTGGAAACCTGTGCCTGTGCTTTAACTTTAGAGGTCACCTTTATTTTAACTGTCTGTTTCACAAAGACAATGAGTTCTTACAACCTCCCTAAGTGGAGGGAAACAACTATGCACATTAGCCTCAGCAATTTAATCCAACCCATAACAATATACTTATTTACAACGCTTACTACTCAGGTCTTTTGTTGCTATTCTTGTCTTCATCCTCTCTCCTTTTTATTCTTAGCAGGAACTGCTGAGGAAAGAACTCAAGATTCTTATCAGTGCAGTTTCAGGACTTGATCTAGGGACTCTTTGATATGGTTTGTAATACTTCTGAAGTATAAAAGCTGGCTTTACTTAGCCTACCGCGGAAGAGTAGAGTAGTTTATGGAGAAAATGTATGTGTTTAATAGGATAGAGTGCTAATCCTCCATGTGTGTTTCTAGGTGAAGAAAATGAAGCTTGTATGTCACCCAGATGAGCATTTGTGAATCTTTGTAGCATACGAGACCTGTATGCTAGAGTTACTATGCGTTTTCCAGACAAAACTATGCAGGGATCAAGACTGAAAGTTTTTGAAAACATTTACATTTTTATATTCTTTATTGTTTTGTCTTAAGATCATAGGATCCTAGAATATTTCAGGTTTCAAGGGACCTCAGGACATCATAGTCAAACGTCCTACTCAAAGCAGAGTCAGTTATTGGTCAAACCAGGTTGCTCAAGACTTTATCCAGATTGGTCTTGAGAACATCCAAGGATGACTTTCATCCTACTCTATGAGCAAAGTCAAGCTTTTCTTCATTGTGAATCCAGCAGAACAGCAGCCAGAGGGCAAAAATTGTATCTTATATGCTATTGCAACTCTTCCCTTTGAGGGGGAAGAGTTTTTCCCAAATGATCACATGAATCAAAGCCCTTATTACAATACTGACAGCAGGAAGCAAATGCTTTGTCCTGTGGTTTTAAATAGTTGTTTGTACTTCCAATGACTCATGAAAGAAGAGGCCTTATTTCATGCTTAATCCAAGACTGGATATTTCTCCAACTGTGCATTGTAATGAGAGAAGGAAGAGGGAGACATTTGTTTGTCTGGGCTGTTTTTAATGACTGTTGTTAGGAGTTGCACAGGGGGTTGGAATGTTGGAAGGAACCAGCTGAGATGAATGAGTGAGTAAAGGGCAAAGAAGGTGGCCAAAGGTATGTGATAAATAGTTTAACGTATGGGTCATTAATGTCCAAACACTTAGTGTATATACACCCCCTATCGTATACTGCAGTGAGCATGGAATGCTAACAAGGCTTTGGGTAACATCTTGATCTGTCGATCCCAAAGAGCATAACTGCCTCTTGCAGGCAAAGGAGTTAGAGAGGCAGCTTAAGAGATTTGTGCAAGGCTGTGAATCAGTTGCCAAAACCAGGAAAGGAGCTACTTCCGACTCCCCACCCAGAGTACTCCTTTCTCCCAGCATTCCCACCCACAAAAGACTTCGTTAATTTTAATCTTCCGGTGCTGCCCCTGTCCCTTTGTCTGTTCTCCTTTTGTTGACTGGAGCTTCATCTTCTTCCAGAGTGAAATAGCCCCAGGATCTCAGCAATCTGAGAGTTTGAAAGCAGCTCCTTCCGTTGCCTCCTCACTTCTCGGTGTCTGACTTTCCTGGCCCTGAAAACCAGGTTGTCAGCATCTTTCTTATCATCTTTCTCCACTCAGCAGTTACTGGACATAGGTACAAATGAGTCTGTTGCTACCTTGTAGCCATGCAAAAAGAGTGAACAAATGGCATCCGAGTAACATTTTATTATTGCTGTTGGCCAGGATGCTGAGCAAAAGCATTCTTCAGAGGGATGGGGATATTTTCTACTAGATGGCTGTGTGTGCAAAAGGGCTGATGTACATGTGTCGCTAAATCCAGAAAAAGATGTGAGCCACAAAACTTGTATTCTGGGAAAAATGCCAATATGTCCGTTCCCTAAATTGAAGTTGTGCAGTGAGCTAGTAAGAGGTACAGAGGAAAGAGAAGGTGGTAGGGGAAGAAATTTCTTCTGCACTGACAAAATATGGGTAGAAGAGCTGTTTGGGTGAGCTAAGTTTTCAGCCTTTAATATCACCAGATGCCTTTCTCTTCAAGTAGGAGTATTCCATTTTGATTGCAGCAGCAGTCAAAATCTCTCCTCTCCTATTTCTCTCTCTCCCACCTTCTATGCAAACAAGGAAGCAACTTACACAATTTGGAGCAATTTCTTTTTACTTTTTCTTTAACAGAAGCAAGTCAACTGCACCAAAGAATCACCGAGAGTGTATACCATGCACCAATGGATTCCTCCAATGCAAGCAGGTAACCACAGCTATCATGGCATATCAGGGCCGTGTTTTGTCTTGCCTTTGTGCTTTTGCAGTACATAAATTCTTAGTTTTCTGTGTTTAGCTTCCTGGGTACAAACTTACTCAATTGTCTTCAAATTCTTTAAAGACATGTAAATGCAGATAAAGGTTTTGCTCATGGGGAAACTAAAAATCACAACGCAGAATTCATTTCAAAGATGATAATTTGGTTTTGCAAAGAACCATATGCTCCGGATTAACTCAAGTTTAGACAAAACATATTGGAACATTTCCAGGATGTTAAACGGAGCTGTCAGCAAATTTTTGTAATGACGCAATTGCTGGGCAAGTTTAATGCAAATTGGCATGGGATATCACTGTAAAATTTTAGCAGGATCAACAAAATCAAGAGAACCCAGGTAACACAGCCAGCCTTTGAGAGTTGTACAACTTGATGTGAGAGATTTTAAACAGATGCAGTGCTGTTAATCCTGCACCGTATTTTCTCTAGGCTTGGTTACATTTGCTTTGTTTAAGGTTTACACTGAAAAAGTTTAAGGGTGAAAATCTTTCAGCAAAACCACCTTGGGGATAGGAGAAAATTATTCCAGTGAAATATGAAATGCAATCACAAAAATGTTTCAAGTCAAACCAGATGTATGTCCCTCTTATAAAGCTCTTAAAGTGAGAATTTTCAGAGCAGAAATTATAGACAAAATATGTCAACAGAAAATTGATTAACTCCAGGAGGAAAGGCCATGTGATTACTTATTTGTCCTAGAGTGGATTAAACCAAAGGAGAGAAGTGCTTGTTGTCCTCATTCTGCCAACTATGCCAGAGGAGAGGTTAGATGCTTCTGCTCAGAATGCTGGGTTATTGTAGGGTCAGGAAGAATATGGTAAGTCTTCATGAAAGAACAAAGCCCTGGGCTTTCATGAATGGAACAAAGCACATAGTGTCCTACTGGCTATTATAAACTGAGGCCACCTTGATCCTCTGTAATATGTGTCTCAGAGAGAAGCAAGGACAGAGGAATTGCAGCATGAGGTGGCTTTGCGCTGGCTGATGTGAAATAGTGGATCCAGAATTCTCAGACTGTGGAGCCTCCTCTGCAGCCTGTTTTGGGATGCTGGGTGGAGGCAAGGAGAGGAAGGAAGAAGCTGAACTTTGTGATAGTCATCCACATGGGCGTAGTCTGTGTTTATGACTGACATGACTAAGCAGCCCCAGTTGTGAAAGGCACTGTAAGCAAGCCAGTGATGGATAGTATTATCTAAAGAGCAACCAGCCTCATCAGTGCTCTGCTAGTGGTTGGAGGCTAATTAATTATTGAGGTTTTATCTAACCAATGGACACCCTCTCCTGGGTTGCCCATGTGTAACAGTGACTCTACTGTTTATTGGGAATTGACAAACCTGTTCTGTGACATTGGGGAAATCTGTTTGCAGGACACTCTCTCGTCCCGGAGCCATATCCATTCAATGACAAAGACTATCTCTTGTTTATATGATATTGCAGCACTTAGGGCTGCAATTCCATGAGATAAGGCAGCACTGGGCGGACTCAGGACTGGAGCTGAGGTGTCTGCAAAAGAGACATTTAAGAGCCAGTGCCCTTAATACAGGCAGTTATTGCATGTCCCTAAATCCTGTTCAATCTCTCTTAAATTCTTTCCCAAAGTTTCAGTGTTTAATCCTAAAATGAGATGTCCTGTGGTATCTATTGCTGTTGTATCTCTCTCAAGGGATGGCTGCTGCATTTCAGTGATAATGAAATTATTCCTTTGTATTGTTTTCTAATCTGTTTAAACATATGAAACTTCAATAGACTATTGTTCTAACTGCTAAACTATCTGCTTTCTTGGAAATGACTGATTCAGTCATACATCCATGTAAAAATATCCTGTGCACATAGATACACGCAAACACTTGGGGGTTTACTCTGCTGTTTCAGAGACGCTCGTGTGTTTTCTTGGTGTCTTTCTCACAGCCGTAAATCTTTAACTCTGTCAGCTGCATGTTTCACAGTTATCTCAGCCTAGCTGGGAAGGAACAGAGAAAAAAGAATAAGGAAACGTGAGTGTGCTTTGGATTTGTTCCCATATTTCTTTTGAGCCCCATTTTGTACCTGACATCTGGCTGCAAAATCACATTTTGATTTAGTACAGGAGGTAACAGAGACCACTGTTAAGGTTCCACCAGAAACAGGTCTGAGGTTGAAATACAAAGCAATGAGTCCCTGCCTTGTAGTTATAAAAGGAATTCACAGATCTCTAGTATTCCAAGTGTTTTTAAGTTTTTAATGATACCTTGGACCTTCCCTTACAGCAAGACAAACCCTATGAATGTTAAGTATAACAGTTCATATGTTAATTGTAAACAGCAATGTAATTGCTGATACATGTTAATATAAGAGTATTTCAGGTCTGTAGATATAATGAAATGTGTGGAACATTCAGTCAAACACTCAAATTAAACCACCAGACATTTGCAGAACAATAAGGGTAAGAACCATGAGAAAATCTTGCAGTTCGAATGCCCTACAAACCTGGGGCAGGGGATTTATTCCCATTACAGATGGCAAGGCCAGGACCTGTGCAGATCTGGAAAGATGGATCCCCTCGTCTGTGGTTCAACTGTAGGTAGGGATATCCCACTTGGATTCATGTTTTCAAAGAGCAGAGGAAACAGAAGTTGGGAGATCCTGGAGCCAGTGGAATCCATATGTTCTAATCCATGGTATGACCTCTTCGTGACCATCCAGTACCCATTTCTCTCCTGGAGTCAAATATACTTATGCTGCAAAGGATGGAAAACTGGGGTCCTCTTTTCTAACCTGGTTTGCTACCCCTTCCTCCCAAATCTGTTGGACTTGCAGAAGGAGCCTGTGCAGACTTAACCGGTTTGTTCCTCCATTTTTCCCTTCTCAGCTCTCGCTAAGGACATCCCTTACTGTGTGGTGTGGAAAGGAGGCGGGGGCTAGAATGGCTTTTTCCACCATACCTGCCTACACAGATGCAGAATTTATAGTGCACACAATTTCAAAACCTGCCTTTTATTCCCTAGGCTTCCATATCTGAGGGTAAGAAAGAATGCTTAGTGCTCAGT